AAGGTGAAAATTATGAATCTAATGTGAACAAAGTTTGTCAGGCTTTTTTTACAAGTGATTAATGTGTGTATATTTAGCACTGTACGGATCAAATTTGCGGAGTTGGGCATACACCAGAACCATCTACAAGCTCAACTCTGAATTTTTTAACAGTCCAGTAATGGTGGGACTATATGGTAACTTGGTGCCAGGCAGATTGTGGCAAATTGTTAAGGCAGAGGTGCAGTAGTATGGATGAGTACCCTTTTGTGACTATAAACTTCTGGAGCTATGTGCTGGAATTATTTCTGTAGAAACTTCTAACTAATAAAACTCTGTACCTTAAACGGTGTGTTAGACTTGGTCTGCGTTGGGGAAGCTGTATGTTCACAAGCTGTGTGCACAAATCAGGCTGTTTGCATGTAGTTATCTAACTTTCAGGTGCAAATATGTGGTTTTGGGGGCATACTATTTTTCTTACCAGTACCTTCATATTCAACACTGAACATTTGGCTCTAGCCATACATTTTCCCAAGCACAAATCATTTCTGTTATGCAAGCACATTGACATCTTTGAAAACAATACACATGGCCAAAGAAATACCTTAAATGATGGCAGTAGGAGAGTAGCTGAGAATTATGCATTAAACAAGTTTTTCTATTGCTCCTGTGGCAAAGACATACCAGCATCTATTTCCCAAGTCAACTGCAACCCCGCTCCTTGACAGAAAGATGCTGAAGTATATATTTTGACAAAATAAAGATCTTGAAACAAAGTGAAATAGCATTATCATTAATAGACTTTTTTTCTCCAAAATGTCTTGCCTTTGTGAAGTCTGCTGTTGGATAAACATCTTAAAGTGTAGTATCAAAAGCTAGAAGGAGAATACTGCATGCTTATGGCATTAGTACCAGGTAGTAACTAAGGAGTGGGTTTCATTTCCATCTTCTATATAAATTTATAATTGATCCTATGCAGCTCTTACTGACAGTTTTGTATAATGTTACACTGACCATAATCCTCGAGCTGGAAGCATATTGCAACAGACTTTTTAATTAAAATTCTAGCATCCCACACATCAAGTTTGGCTAAAAATAAATTCCTAGGTAGGTGTAGGGCAGAGGATATTTTGAGAGCTTGGCTTGATACACTAAGAGGGGAAAGCAGAGGGAAGATGCTGCTGTTAGTGGAGGCAGTTCTTTAAGGCTTCCTTTTTCTTACCAGCATCACCTCCATCTTGCCTGAGTTCAGCTTTAACCAATTACTCTTCAACCTAGTGGTACATGTAAGCGGCAGCAGCAGGATCAGTAACTGACTAACTGCATCAGGCCAACCAAGTCAGGGGGATGAGATTCCCAACAAGCAAAAAGGGAAAAAGTGTCAACTGCAAGCAGGCATCTGACATGCTCAGAGGGGAAGGGGCCACGAGTAAATATAGTGGGCCTCCCTATTCTCACTTCCTTTCTTCTTCTATTGCTAGAGCTATACAGTCATGGCCTACAACAGTTCCCTTTGTGGGAAAAAGGAGGAGCCTGTTAATTAGGTTGGGGGCCTTTTCCAGCACATGACCTCTGGGTCCAATGAGGATGTTGCACCACCCTTTATCAATGTGGAGGAACCTTCTTCTTTCTGCTTCCCAATGGTAACAGGGGTGTGAAGTAAGCAAGAGGAATAGTCTTCAGGCAGCTTGGCTGCCTCTTCTCTTTCTAGCTTAGACAGATGGAGGCTTGGGCAAACACCTGCAGCCCATTTTTCCCCTTCTACATCAGCAGGTGGGGACAAAGATGCTCCTTGCTCAAAACATCAAGATGAAATACCAAGTACATTCACTACATGCACAATTTGCAGAAGCTGCACAATGATGCTGGCATGAACTCACAACAGCAGCAGCACATGGCTTTGTGACTGTGACAGACATGGCAACTTCCTGCCATATCCTTAGAAGACATTATTGAATTAAGTTTAAGTATCTTTGGGTTCCATTGTACTAAATGAACAGTTTATGTATTTTTGTGACCTACCACTTGGGGGAGGGCTGCCACACCTCCCCCAGGAACCAAAAACAATGGGTAGTGATTACGGCAGGTCACACAGATTGTAATAGTGCCAGAGAGGTATCACCTCCCAGAAAGATTCACATACTCTAGTTCAAACTGAATGCTCCAGACACCAAGAGAGACACACACAAAAGGACTTTTGGATAAATAGCCAGAGTTTAAACTGACTTGGGGATCTTCATCCTAATCTAGCAGATAGGACTTTCTGCCCAAAGGAGGGAGTCCCAAACCTTGCAGAAGGGTTGGAAAGACTTTAGCCTACTAGGGCCCCATAAGACTGATGAGCAACCTCTGCTGAGCTTTTAGCATGCATATAGTAACAGTTTTTTAAAATGCTTTCTGGGTTATGCTTTTAACCTAAAGAAAACATGTGCTTGCTTAGAGCTTGTCTGGTAACTTGTAACTGCTGGCCATACACTAGTTCTAGCCCTTGGAGTGAGCCAAGGACAGGCACTGGCCTTTTAAGCAGACCAGCTTGCTGGGGATATCTGAGCATAGGCAAGGAGCTGTGCAGCCTTAAAACTCCCAGTCAGGAGGGAATGAGACATGGGTGTCTGCCCAGCAAAGGTGACATTTGGGAGCTGGAAACCTTTAAGTAAATGGTCCCTCAGGACATTGAGGGGGAATACAGGTGCAGTTCCCTGAAACTGACAGTGTCCACACAAGGCATGATTAGAATAATTCTGTTGTAGAAATGCTTCACCATGCTTGCAGGTTGAGTGCAGAAGCCTACTTACTCCCTGGCTTGAGCAACCACAGTCATTATGCAACCTATCTGAGGCAATTGTGTTTTCACTGTAGGAGGAGGCGGCCCAAGTACATGGAACTCACTTGCCTTTCTGCTCAGTCTATTGCACACTGGTGGTTAAAGACATCTTTACAGAAAACCAATTTTATGTATTATTCTCTTTTCCATTTTTGTGGTTTAGAGCCCTTCTGCTTCGCTCCAATGGTGAGTGCTTGTCTTATTTTTAAATAGCGTGACCAGACGTCCTGATTTTATCGGGACTATCCCGATATTTCCTTGTTTGTCCCGCGTCCCGACCGACGTGCGGTCGGGACACTGGACAAGGAAATGCGCCGGAGCCCGGAAGTGCTCGCGCCCCCTCCTGCCCCGACTCCACCCCCTCCTCCCCCGATTGGCTCCCTCCCCGAATCCCTGCCTCCTCCTCCCTCTGCAAGCGCTGGAGGGAGGCCCGGGAGACTCAGGGGAAGCGCGGGGCCGGGGTGAGTGAGAGTCCGGCCTGGCCCCGAGCAGGCAGGACTCAGTTGGGTGGTTGGGAGAGGAGGGGGGGCGGCCCGCGGGGCCAGGCGGCGGCTGTTGTTCTCCCCCCCTGGGCAGCGGGACTCGGGAGCAGCCGCTGCTGCAGCTCCCGCTGCCGCGGGGGAGGAAGCGGCCATGGCGCTTGGCGGCCATCACTGGAGGTTTTAAAGACCAGGTTGGACAAACCCCTGTCAGGGATG